TAGGGTAGGGAATGTATTTCCTTTCATTCCGTGTTACCCTCAGATGGTACTCAAATGTAGCATTGCCTGATTGTATCCAACTCTTTTTTTTCTTGATAAGCTAACTGTCATAATTAAGAATTCACAAAGCTACTATGATAAAAACAGTATAATAGTGGCAAAAAAAGTCTTGAGTATAAGTGGAACAGATAAGATAATGAGGAAACAATTCCAAACACACTCAATCATTTTCTCTTTGACAAAGGGGCAAAACATTTCCCTGGAATAAAGATAGCCCGTTTAATAAATGGTGCTGGAATAACTGGCTTCCCACATGCCCAAAACTGAAACTAGACCCTTATCTCTCACCATGCACTAAACTAACGTAGAAATGGATCAGAGATCTAAATATTAAAACAGAAACACTAAATCTGCTAGAAGAGAGAAGAGGTAGAGCTCTTGAAGACAATAGGCAAAGACTTTATAAATAAACCCAGGAAATATTACAAAGAATCAACAACTGGGATCTCATTTTATTAAAAAGAAATCACCAGCAGAGTGAAGAGACCACACTGTGGGAAATTTATTTTTCTAGCTGTTCCTCAGACAAAGGACCAATATCTAGAAACATAAAGAATTCAAGAAAAATTAGACCTCTCCTCAATTTAAAGACCAAATCAAAAAATGGGCATCTGAAATAAATGGACACTTCTCAGGTGAAGAAATACAAACAGCAAATAAATATATAAAAAAATGTTCAGCATCACTGGTCATTTGTGAGATGCAAATGAAAACAATGCTAAGATTCCATCCCACTCCAGAAAGAATGTCTGTTATTAAGAAATCAACCAATAACAAATGCTGGTAGGGGAGTGGGGGAAAAATGAACTCTTTTCCATTATTGGTGGAAGTGTAGACTTGTGCAACCACTATGGAAATCAGTGTGGAGATTCCTCAAAAAACTAAAACTAGAAGTTCCATTTGACCCAGCTATTCCTCTTCTTGGTATCTTCTTGAAAAAATTAAAAGCCTCGTACCATAGCAGTGTATGCACAACCATGTGTATGGCAGCACAGTTGGTAAAAGCTAAATCTTGGAGACAGTCCAAATGCCCATCAACCAATAAATAGATACATTTTTTTTTTATGATGGAGCCATAAAAATTTTCAGCCATAAAGAAGGATAAACTTGAGCTGGGGATTTAGCTCACTGGTGCTGCCACCTGACTCTCAAGCACAAGGTCTGTATTTCGATCCCCAGTACAAAAAAAAACAAAAAAACAAACAAAAAAACCCAAAAACCCCGAGACATTTCTAGGTAAATCCTTGAGACCATAAAATAATTTTAATACACATATGTAAATACCACATTGATGCTCTGCTGTGGGAAATCAAAAGTGTCAATAAGGATCAAAATATATAATAGATACTAAGAAATGAGAAGAAAATGTTCAAATAGGAAGAAGAACTAGGGAGGGTGGGATAGGGAAAGGAAGAAGGGGAAAACAGAAAAAAGAGAAAAAATGGAAACAAAGCTTTTATAGATAAGGAGAGGAAGCGGGGTTGAAGGGAGGAGAAAGGAATTTAAAAAATGCAATCAAGATATATCATGTACAGGTACAAATTCCCCATGGTGAGTGTGATCCTTATGTATGCCAGTAAAATCCATTAATTACAAAATGATTCCAAGTCCATTTCATTTCCTGATGGAAACTCCACATTTCTAGAATTTAAAATGTAGATTTTAATTCTTTGGTTTAGAAGTCTAGAGATCCTGGTTTTTAAATATTTCCATTTTAACGCATTTGGTAGATTGTGAATGCTAATATGTTTATATTTCATATGCTGAAATTTGGAAATATGGATATGTTTTGATGTATGTATACATTGTGAATGATTACGTCAAGACAGATCAATCAGGATAGCAGTCACTTCAATGTTTATCATTTCTTTTTGGTGAGAATAGTTAGCATATACTGTCTTAGCAATTTTCTGGTATATAGTACTTTATTATTAACTATATTCACTATACTGTAAAGCAGATTAATAAAACTTATTCACCCAATCTAGCTAAAACTTTTTCTGTTTGTTTAACATCTTCCCAACTCCCCATGCCCGTAGGCCCTGACAACTACCATTCTGCTATCTGCTTTTATGAATTTGACTATTTTAGGTTCCACATACAAGGGAGGTCAAGCAGCGTTTGTCTTCCTGTGCTGGTTTATTTCACTTTAGCAAAACATTCTCCAGGTTCATTCATGTCTCCTAGGACAGAATTTCCTTCTTTTTAAAGGCCGAATGGCTTTTGATTACATGGTCTGTGTATGTTTATCCACCGCATTTTATTAACCTGTTCCTCTGTCAGTGGACACCGGTTGATTCTGCGTCTTGTCTCCAGTTGATAAGGCTGCAATGCACACATCTCTTGGACTTCTTGGTTTCCTCTTTTTGACTATATATCCAGTGTTAGAGTGCTGGATCATTTGATGATTCTATTATTAATTTTTTGAGGAAATTCATACCATTTTCTATAATGCCCGTACCAGTTTATATTTCTACAACAGCTGTCCTTTCTCCACAGTCTCTTTTTGAGGGTAATCATTCTGAAAGATACATTCACTATGGTTTTAATTTTCATTTCTCTGATGAATAATGATGCTGAGCATTTTTTATATACCTACTGGCCGTTTGTACCTCTCCTTTTGCAAAAAAGACCTTAGGTTGGCAAATATTTTCTCACATTTAATAGGTTCTCTCTTCACTTTGTTGATTGTTTCTTTTCTTATGTGAAAGTTTTTAAATTTGAGAGAAGTTTATTGATCTGTTTTTGTTGCCTGTGGTTTAGGGTTGAATACAAAAATTCATTACCCAATCACATTGGAAATGTAAAGGACTTTGCAAACACAAGTATAATATATCTCTGTCATTGATTAGGCAGGAAAATGAGACACTTGGTTAAAAACTTTTGGATTAATTGACAGTTATTCTATATGCACTGCAAATTATTGACTTATGCAAAAATTATAATGCAATAAAATTCCTACACCACTAAAACTATACAAAACAAAGCTTTCTACTAGTGTGTCAGAATAATTACTATGAACATCTGCTACTTTTGTGCTATAGCTATATGGAGGTGTTAATTAAAAGAGCAGAGCACTAGTTATGTTGGATCCCAAAAAAACTACATGAATATTGTTGATTTTTTTTTTTTTTGTGCTGGGGATCCAACTCAGGACCTTGCACTTGTGAGGCAGGTGGCAGCACCACTGAGCTAAATCTAAATCCCTGGCCCACTGTTAATGTTTTTATGTGTGGCCCAGTTGTGTATGCAATTGAAAAGAGATAAAGAGAATGATAGGGGGAGATATTGTATGCTTGATTTTGGAATTTCAATAATTACGGAGCTTGAATAAAGTTCTTTGCGCTAATAACAAATTTATTTAGCTTGTAATTTTTTTTTTTTTTTAAACCAGGGATCAAACTTGGGTCCTTGCGCTTGTGGGGTAGGTGGCGGAACCACTGGGCTAAATCCCTGGCCCAACTCCTAATGTTTTAAAAGACAGACTTAGGGATAGCTAGACCTCATTAGCAGCACTGAAATCATATGCATTTTATTGGTGGGGCTGTAGAGTGAACCAAGGCCCTTGTACATGCTAGCAAGTGCCCTTTCACTGAGCTGCACTTTCAGTCCCATATCTCATAATTTTGAAGAAATTATAGAAAATGAATATAGCATGACATACAAGTGATATGTAACTGAGAATTTTTGTATTTCTCCTTAAAATTTATTTAGACAAAAATGTACATGGGAGATATTTGAAGAGTATTAAAATATCTATTTAAAGGTTATTAAAAACTAGTTTTAAACAGCTCGTCCTTATGGGACATGTCTTTAAAGCTTTATGATTATGAGTTTTTAATGCAGGAATAATTGCATAATGAAGAGAAAACAAAAGTAAAACATTAAGAGTTAAACTGTTTTGAAGCTAGTACATTTTATGCTCAAAGTATATTTTGGAAGGACTTAAAATACTAAAGGAAATTACATAAACAAATACCCCAAGTAAATAATTGCTAACATTGTACACTTAGAATGTGTCACACATTTTTAAATATTTGGTACCAATTAACTGACTGGATTGAATTATCTAATAAAGTTATGTATACCTACTCTGTGTTGAATATTAGCTTAGGCTCTACAGATGTGGTAGAAAAATAAAGCCGAAAAAATATCTCTACTGTCAAGGAATTTATATTCTAGTGGGAAAAGACACACAATCAAAATGTGCCTGAATGTGAGAGTTCTTTAATTTTAAAAAGCTCAGTGTGGGAAGGCCTCCCTAGACTGTGACACTGACCAAAGGCCTGAAGTAGATGCCTGAGACTGAGGCAGAAGAAAGCCCCAGGAGGAGGGAAGGCCACATGCAGAGGCTTTGGGGCACCTGCTTCCACATTTCCAGGTGCAGTGGGGAAGTCACCCATCCCTTCCCCCCCAGGAGGAGAGCAACAGGAAATGAGGTCAGAGGATGATGAAGGGCCTTACGATGTAGGCCTGAGAGATGCAAATCTACTAACAGCATTTCTTTAGCTGCTACCTTGAGAATGGAGTGTGGAGAGTAAAAGTTAGAAAAGGATTCCTCAGGAAGCTGTTGGCATTGTCCATGCTGAGACTATGATGCGTGGACTGGACTGATTCTGGGAGTAGGGCCGGGCTGGGGTGTGGTAGTGAGGAGGTTTTGGGTTCTGGATGTTTCAGGAAGACAGAGCCAATGGAATATGGTGTCTGTGAGACAGAAGTTAATCTGTGACATGCAAAGAGCACAGGGAAGCCTGGAAGGAATGAGTATAAAGAGGAGACGTGAGGAATTCAGTCTGGGACAGTTTGAATTTGAGATGTCCACTTGGCCTTCAAGTTGAGATGAGTTCTCATCATAGCTTCATGAGATAGGTACCAGTAGCATCTCAACTGTGTGGACAAAGTAATAGTGGATAAAAGTTAACTTCTTTTTATTCAACCAGGTAGAAACAGAGGCAGCATCCCAGCATAGGCATAACACCTCTGACCCTGCCACTCAAGAAAGCAGTGTGAGGCCAACATCTAAGGTATTTGGAAATGAATATGGTGATGCTGGATTGTGTAAAATTATAACATGAGAAGTCCTACTACCCATCAGGCCTGCAGCCTACACTAGCTTAAATTAAAGTGGCTCTTTGAAGGATCACTTATGAAAACTTGTTTTGCACTCTCTGCATCTGTCTCTGCCCCTGTATCTTCACGTCAATCTCTATGTCTACTGCCTCCTTCCTTTGCCCTGAAGAGGTAGGGTTGCAGAATTATCCACACAGCACAACTATAAATAGTGGTAACAGCTCCCCTTTTGAATTATACAACATTCTGGCATTGTTCACATTTATACTGCTTAGTTTCAAGCTTTCCATTAACTTGGGCTCCATGACATTTCTGCCATTCCTGGTTACTTGCTGAATATCATTAGTTGACCCAACATCCTGATTTCCTAGGAACCCAAAGTGAATGGCCATTATTCAGGGTTAGTATATCCTTACCTTTACATTTTTCTCAAGATATTTATAATGAACTTACTGCCTAGAGCTGTTCAAGTATCCTTTTGTCAATCACTTTAGCTATCCAAGTACACAAGGTATCTAGATAACTTGGCTTGTACTGTGCACTGTGTAACAAGCAAAAAAAGTAATTACAATTTAAGTACACAGTAAGTAGAATAGCATTACTATGGACTATGCTATATAACTTGTCCCAACAACTGTGGAATTAAAAGAAGTATTCATTTTTTAAAGAATTACATGTGAATTGGGCTAAGTTTCCTACAAGTGCATAGGAAATGTGTTCTCTCTTGGCATGACATCCTTGGATATATTTGTAAGTGAATGGCTGATATAGCATTAGCTGCACAGCAGTACATTCACCAAATCAATACAAATGTAGTGCATAGTCAATAATATGATTCACTTGTCACTAGGCAGTTGGTCCCATCAGAATAAGTACATTACAAAAGCTTTCTTTTCCTTTTTACACTGTACATTATGTTATTCCATGATCAAACTGAATTATTAAAGTCTAAACTCATTATATTTCATACTTAGAAATAACAATATAGGTGGCTAGAAGCATTTAGTGAAAAAATACAGTTTGTCAAAGGAATTTAGTACTATAATTCACTGAAGCAATGTAAGACAAAGTTAAGGTGGCTGATTAACTATTCAAAATGTGAGTTATGTAGAAGTTAGGTAGTTTAAGGGAAACGAAATGATTTTTTAATTTCCTGCTTGTCTAAACTTTATTAGCATATTAAAGTGTTATATGTTTTTTTTTCTAGAAAATAGTTATAATAGCACCCCTCTTCACTGGACTGTGGTTTTTCAGAGACTTATTAGCCAAGGTTTGTCTCATTCTTTCATATCCTTGCTTAGTGTTTCAGAGGCATGTGCCCTGCTGCCCTTCCCTGCAGAACTAACTGGCTTTTGTGTGCTTCGTTTATATTGATTCTTAAGTAATGTTTTTTTTTTTTTCCTGGTACCTGGGATCAAACTCAGGGCCTTGTGGCTGTGAGACAGGCAGCGGCACCACTGAGCTGAATCCCCAGCCCCTACTTCTATTAATTCTTAATCATGTTGCACGTAATTGTTCCCAAATGCAGAATCAGTTGTTTTTCCTTTTGTATCACTTGTTCAGTTTTCTTGTATCACTTATAGTCTGACAGTATGGGCTTCATACCTGTGCTAACGACTGGACCAAGCTGAGGACAGAATCCCTTCTAGGAGAGGTGCATTAGGTACGGAAGAAATAGCATTGAGCTCATCTTGCAGGGGGTTGGGTTATGAGATGTGGGTAGAAATGAAGCTTCCTGGATCACTGGACTTTACTTATGGCAGTTTTGCCTAAGGGCTAGATGTGTTTCTGCTTTTATTTTATGAAGCAGTTTGCTTTAGAAGCACTGTTGGAATATAGCTGTTAAGTGTCAGGAATATTTTCCATTTTCAATATTTCATCAAGATTTATCTCTTTAAAACTGCATATATTTCAGGTGACATGGAAGAGGAGAAGTTCCCAAGTTTTGTGACAGATAATTTACTAGTAAGACATTCTTAGTTCAGCCAAGTAGGCCCAAGGCAAGTGGCAGTACTGAGGTCATTTTCAAAACATTGTAAACGTTTGCTTTCTGTGTGGGCTTCCGTAGGATTCCGTGACTGTAATGCAGTTTATCTGAAACAACTTTTCAACAGGGAACTCAGAAAGTGGTGAGGCCTGATTTCTTAATAGGAGAAGGTAAAAGGATGTTATATGTGTGCTCTAGTGTAGCACAGTTACTGCTGGGTGCACTTCAAGGTATTGACTTTGATACACTTTGTTCTCTCACTTTTTATCTTTTTCCAAATGCTGCCTTACGAAGCTTCCTCAGTTGTGATTGAAGCGAGTTGAGACTTTTACTGATTGTCTTCAAGTTTGCCATATTTGCGGATGCACTGTGTGTACGAGTGGGTAGAGTGCATAATTATTTTTACCGTAAGTGTCGTATCTGGTTGGAAGATAAAAACACTGTTTTTGAACCTCACTAGGGCCAAATGTGCATATTTTTCAAAGCAACAAACTTTTAAAGGAATATAAAGAAGATATTTCTTCTTATTTTACATGAGTTATACTACATGTGAAATAAATTATTCTCATGATAATTTAAGGTGCTTTTTTTTGTTTTTGTTTTTTGGTATCGGGGATGGAACTCAGGTTCTTGCACTTGTGAGGCAGGCGGCAGCACCACTGAGCTCTCTCATGATAATTTAGATGACAGTTGTTGAAGTATTTTCTGTTTGTTTCATAAAACAAGTCTGCTTCAGCTTTTGACAGTAGAGCTTATTTGGGATGAAACGCTTAAGTAAAGTCACTGTTACCTTTAGTAGTCAGGATCACATTCATTGAAATAAGCACAATCATTTTATGTTATTGTGAGGGGGATACTCTAGGGAATATTTCCATTTATCCATGTGTTGACATTTAATTTTATTTAAATAATAAGTTTGTGTGATAAAAATGTCAAACCATATAGAAGAATTTACAGTAAAAAGACACAATCCCTGTCATACCCTTCCCTATCCCCAGAGGTGACCAACTTTAAACTGTTTTTTTTTTTTTAATTCTTGATTCTTCTCACAGTGATGTTGGATCTATTTGTCTGTCTATCTTACATAACACATATCTCACTATTTCTCGATTTATTACATTTAGACACCATTTACTTCTTGATATATTGGATTAGGACTGAATTCATTTATATTACTTTTCACCTTCCCTTTCCTATGTATAATCACATCATCAGTCTATTTCCTTACAGCCTAAATTTGGTACTTCAAAAACCTAATTAAATCTTCATTTCTTATGTCATTAGCCTTGGACAGTATTTCTGAACTTTTTCAGACAAAGTTGACAAATGACAGATGGCATTACAACTGTGTTATCCACTTCTTTCACCCCAGTCTTGTCTAATTTTCCAAGTTGACACGGCCAGATCATGCATTAGTTAATATTACAATTCCTTCTTTATTTTTCTGTGGAAGTTACACTTTCTTCCCTATGTAGGGTTATTCCATTAGATCCCTTCTGTATGGGTTTAATTTTCTGCCACTTAGTGGAGAATGTTCCCAGAGTCCAATCATGAATGCTCCATCTATTGAAAAAATCTGTTTTATCAGAGTTCTTGCTCCTCTCCAGAAACCTCCACTTGGAACACTTTACCTCCTGGATCTGAGCTGGTTCCTCCCTGCAGTATTCCAAAGCCAGAATCCTGAGATCTGCTTTTATTCTCCCTTGGATAGTACTGTTACTTGGATAATGTTATCTTTATGCTTATACCCTCAAGTTAGCATCGTTAGGAAGGGAACACAGGAAGTAAAAGAAATGAAACCTTGCAAAACAAAAATTTTATTCTACTTTCATAATTTTTTAGCCTAATTATTTGGCAAGAAATAGAACTCTTAATCAAAAATCATTAATTCATTATTTTCTAGCACTTAGTGTGACAAATGAAAAATCTGTTAGACTAATTTCATTGTTGTGTGCCTTTTTAAAATTTCTGTAAGGTTTCAACTGTACTTACGTATTTCTTTCTTTATTTACTTTTAACTCTAAGATATTCTCTTAATTCTTATTTTTGAAAATTATCTTCCCTCTATGTATTCTTTTTTCCTTCTAGAAAGTTTATCAGTGACTATTAAGCACTCTGGATTTATCCTGTTTCTTTATCTTATATTTTCTATTTCTTTGTCCTAATATTCTATGTTTTGGGAGGCTTCCCTGTTTATCTTCCAGTACTTCTCTTGAATTATATCTTTTATCTAAAAACACTTTCTTTTTAAAATACATTTTCTTACATAATTAAAAAAAATTGTGTCCCTCTTGTTCCTTTTCCATAATCTCTTTCTCCTGTTTGGGGAGTCAACATTTTGGAAATTCTCTGGAAACTATGGTTTTGAGGTTTTAAAAATTTCTTTGAAGTGCTGTAGATTAATCCTGGCATCATGTGGGGTCACTTTTTCCTGTCTATTGTAAGTAGACGTTGTTCTCTTTAGTACTGCGGCTTTCATCAAAAGTATCATGATTTTGATGGGAAGAATGAAGCTGACTGAGGGTCTGGGCACATGAGACACTTTCCTGACTGGCATCCTCTACATTTGGGTCCATGGCTGGGACATGAGCCATTAGCTTGGAAATCACCAGGTACCAGGCCCAAGAGCACTGTGATTGACACAGTAACACACTCACTACTTTATAATCCTAGTGTGATTAGAAGGATGACTCATATATTTTGCCAAGGGCTAAGTGCCAACCTGTAAAACAGATCTTCTGTTATTCCTTCCATTTTCACCTTTGGTTTTTGAGGCTCAATTTCATTTGGGATTGGAATTCCACAAATTTGCTTGAGGCTTGCCCGTTCTCCACCTGCCACCCTTCTTGAGATTTATCCTTTCTTCTCGTATATTCTGGGCTGTGTTTCTTTTGTTTTTTAGTCACTAGTCTTCCAAGAAGCTGTTAAAAATTGATGTCCCCTTATATCAGCTCTCTGTATTCATTT